TTAAATTTTTGAATGTTGTAGGTGGCAGGGAAGCAATAAATTGGAGTTTCACATGTGAGAATAGAAACAATTAGAGTAGAATAAATGGTTGCATCTAGATAGTTGAAAATGGTGAGACCTAATTGTCAATCTAGTAGCATGCTTAAATTTATGTAGTTGAGATACCAAGGAGGAAAGCCAATAGAACAATTTTGAAAATATTTGTAGAAAAGAGAAAGGGAAGCCATGTCATGTCAGTGAGACAATATTTGAAGTCAAGTCAGGATCGATTACATTACAGACCTTTCTTTGAATTTTGACAAGAATCTTGAGATATGTAGTAGGAGTGAGTACCAAACCAGATATAGCAGCAATGTTCCATGTATGGATGAATGGTAGATTTATAAATGTGCAAGATGGAATTGTCTGTCATGACACAGTGAATAAATTTTACTTGCAGTAGAGCTAGCAATTGATTCAATATAGTCACTCCACATTGTCAGTTGAAAACATTAGTTCAGGAAGGCACAAAGAAATGCTCTCGTGAAGGTTATCATCAGCAATGCTGAGAGCAAGCAGAAAAGGTTCTCTAAGGTGATTAATTGAAAGCAGTTTTGTTTTAGAGGTGTTAAAATTTACAAGCCATTCCTTGCTCTAGTTAACCACTGCTTAGAGACCTTTTTGAGAGTAGTTTTACTTTGTCTAAGTTGTCAGGCTTGCAACTAAGACAAGAATAAATAGTTATCATCTGCATAAATACCTAGTTGTGAACTGATGACATTGAAAAGGTTGTTGAAGATAATGTAGGTTGAAGGATAGAGCCCTGGGGGACATCTGCATTAATGTGAAATGATTTAGGAGTGTATTTGTTCAACACAACCTTCATTACACAATCTGTTAGGAATGATGAGATTATGTCAAATATTTGTCTAGAGACACCATAGCCCTTGAACTTGTGGAGAAAGCCAGTATACTAAACCTTGTCGAATGCCTTTAAAATATCTAGGGCCACAACCAGAGTTTTGCCATTCTTATCTAAAGTTTGATAGACAAATTGTATAACTGAAAGCTTTAAATAAATGAAAAATCATTATTTTGTATTTAATAGCATATAGGTCATCTGAAGTATCTCTTGGTGATACATAAATGAATCAGTGAGACTTAACTAATTTTTGGATGAAGAGTTCAATGTTTTTTTATATTGTCATAGATATTTCTACTTTGGGAAAATTTTGTGAAATTGTTCAAACCAAAAAAAAAAGTGCATGTAGGGGGGGGGCAGTAATGATGACAAAACTTATGAATTTGTTTTACAAAAGTAATCATGATAGTTTTTCAAACAAATCCTTATTTACTTTCAAAATCCATATTTACTTAAGAGCTCTTTATTAAATAATATTATGAAAAGGTTTGTTCAGATTCCCTATCCTGGACCATTTACTTTGAATAGCATCTTGCTTTAATAAAATTCTATGTGTGCACGGTAAGAAATTTAAATTCTTTTTATGGATGGGAAATGAAATAATTTATTTTGGATTTTCTAGTTATACTTTAAAGTAAGCATGTTCACTGTTTTCGTGGGAAAACAGCATATAGCGTAATGAAAATGCCACAAACTTAACTAAAATAAAGTTTTATTGTCAAAATGCTTATGTTATTATTAAGATGAAAGACCAAAGTATTTTTTAATTATTTCTAACACGTTCGAAATTTTGGTTAAATTCTTTTGTTTACGTCATCGTGGCGTCACAGAAAATAACTTTTTTTTTTTTTTTTTTTTCCCGTTGAAAACATTGATTTGGAAATTCTTGTAAAAATCAAGTAATTGTTCGATTTTAATGAAATTTTCAGGACTTATTCACAAATGAATGAAATTATTTTTGAAATTTTTTTTTTTTTTTTTTTTTTTTTTTAAAAGTAGGGTCTTGAAGATGGTAAATAACTTTTTTTTTTTTTTTTTTTTTTCAAATTTGAGCTATTTAACTGAAAATCTGCTCTGAATTGAAAAATAATGAATCAATAAAACTATGATATTACTTAATTAGAAAAGCTTTTAATTGCTTTTGTAAATAAGTAATATTAAGGACATTATTGTCTGAAGAAATAATTTTTTCTGATGAATAATTAATTTTTACAAGAATTTTTTCGTTTTTAAGAAATTTTAATTAGAATAATTTATAATAGTTTAAAATTGTGTAAAGCTCTGTATTAGGAGGGGCTCCTCAATATCATGTAGTAATTAAGTAGAAAATAAATTCTGAGTCCAAAATTGCTAAGTTTAATAAATTTAGTTGCGCTACTTTTTTTTTAAAATAATTTTTTATGTTGTATTTTTTACTTAATGCATTCCTTATTTCCATGTATGATATACAGAAATTGCCATTATTATAACAAGGTCACGTGATCTAAGGGTTTTCTCCCTTTACGTGGCCTTTTCATAACATCTCGTTTCTTACGGGTTGTATTTTCCGTTCAGCTTTAAAAGTGTAAACTTTAAATTTTAAAGTAATTCTTCTTCTTTCCATTTACTGTTTAACTAAATAATTTTATTTTATGTATTGTATTTCCATTAGTGTGTGTCATACTCAAATAGAATTTTTTTAAAAACTCAGACTTAAAAATTATGTCATTTATGGTCATCAGTAGTAGCTGTCATCGGTTCGTCATTCAACAATCCATCAATAGTTCGATCAGATGAACAGGACCGCTTGTTAATAATTGGTTGTATATTATTTTTTTATGCTATAAGTAAGAAAGATTTCTTTCAAATCAGATTACTTTAACTTTAAATTTTTTAATTTTACTAAAATAACGTGTCAGAAATATTCTTAAATATTTTCAAAATCGATAAATTTGTGTTTGTTTACAAATTTCTTAAAATTAAGAAAATGGCCGATTTTAAGAAAATTAAAAAATTTAAATTTGACAATCGAATGTATATAGTTTCTATCTGAAATACACCAGAATTGTTTAATTAATGGAAATCATAAATTTAATGATTAAACTTTTTTTAAAGCTAAAATAAAATCTTCAAGAATGTTTTTTCGTTGTAAAAAAATTCATTTTAAACTTAAATATAGAAAATTTATGCCAAAATAGTGGAGTAACATTTTATTCTTAATGTTATCTGTTAAGTTTGTTTGAATTTCTTAGATGAGGCACTTTCATTAATGGTTATTGACCAGGTGTATTTTTAATGTTATTGTTGCTTTTTTTTTTTTTTTTTTTTTATTGTAATGCTCAGGTTTTTATATATATATATATATATATATAGTAATTATTACTACTACATTTTATGGCTATTGAGCAAACATAGATTAGAAAATAACTCTTGGAAGACCTGATAAGAGTTCAATTGGTTATTTCTTTTTCTGATTCATGCTACTTAACCTAATTGTTATTTAACAAACATTATTTTGATATGATTTATATATAACGTACTACTACAAGGAGGAGGAGAATGATATGTATGCTGATTTTTGAGAAGTCTAGTAAAAGTAAGGAATTTGTCTCCCTTAGTTCTAAACTTCAAAAAATATATAAGGAAGGATGGAATGTAGAACTTTTGGTGGAATTGGTTAAATATAAATAGGTTATTTAAGGTTGTAATTTTGTTTGATATATGTTCAACAATTTAATAATTTAATTGTATATCTTTATAAGTAGAAGTATATGATAGTTTTGAATATCAGTGATTTTATTTATTTATTTTTTTATATTTTTCAAATATCACCTTTCTTTAAGCCAATATACATGACAATAAAATTTTTTAAAAACTTAACTCAAGACCTATTTTTAAATATTTAAAATAAATAATTGCATTAAAAAGTAAATATATAAATAAAAATTCAGCAACATTTATTCCCTTTCGTTTATCAAAATAACATAATTCTGCTTGTTTCTTCCTTAGTTATCATATGTATGCCCTGTCAATACCTCATAAATAATGGACTATTCTATTTTGATTACATGGAAATGACATGTCAGAGATACTACTTGGTTTCAGTGAGAAAATGAAGGAAAGAAAGAAATGCCTTGTCAATACCTCCATAAATAATGAACTGTACCATTTTGATTGTGAGGAAAGATGGAAAAGACATCGGAGATGCTGCAAGCAAAACAAAATTCAAACATGAAAGCCGTGAAAATCGTAAATAATTACATTAAAAAAATAAATATATAAATAATAAATGAATAAAAATATTCATAAAATATTTACTCTTATTTCTTGGGCAAAAAATATATTTAGGCAGCAAGAATTCATCCAAACAAGTTTTGTGAAATTTAAACTAACAAAATTCAATGGCATTAAAACATTTACTCACTTTTGTTTATTTGGCATTAAATAATATCACTTAGCATCCTCCATAGTTTACCTTCCCTTACACAATTAGCTTTTAAAAATGTTTTAAAATGTTTTTAAATTTGAAAACATAATATTTTTTCTCCACTTTACTTCTGTTTTATAAATACAAGTTGCAAAATAAAATATCTACATTTACCTTGATAAAGACCCTTAAGGTACAAAACCTGTTGGTAAAGAAAAGTATTTTTGTCTTTATTTATATTGTTGTTACACACACATGACACGTATATATATTTATATGAAAGAAATATTTGGCAAAGGTAATGATGGGTAGTATAATAGACAAATTTTGCATCATTCTTGCATTGAAACTTATTTCCATAAATATTTCTTCTAAAAAGTATTTTATTTCATACTTTACCAATGTGAAAAGAAATTGGGTGATAAATTTTTTACCCAAGAAATAAATTCATCTTGAATTTGCAGAATATTTGTATGATCAATCAACAAATTGACAAAAAAAATCTTTTTGAAACCATTAAATCTGATGTTGAGAAAATTAACATTTATATACTAAGAAGTCCTTGTTTTTAATTGGTTCCATTTAGTTGTAGATAAAATTCTACATGGTTTCTTTACAAATATCACTAATGTCTATAAGATTGTCTTGTAAAACCACTTTTAATAAAGTTTGTTTAAACTTCTTTCTTTTCAGGGTAAGATAGCTTGTGCCAATGTTTTGAGTGACCTGTATGCTATGGGTGTCACTGAGTGTGACAATATGTTGATGCTGCTGGGTGTGAGTAACAAAATGACAGATAAGGAAAGAGACGTTGTTGTTCCAATCATGATGCGTGGCTTCAAGGTAAGTATTCTCTTTCAAATAATTCACCTGGATTGGCTGGATAATGATAGAGAAAAAAAAAAATGGTTTTCTTGTGGTTTCCAGTTCTTTACTGTTTCTTTTTTTTTTTTTTTATTATTATTATATAATAACTTGTATGTGTATATATATATATATATATATATATATATATATATATATATATATATATATACACACACATACTGAAAGTGATGTTTGTTGGCATTTAAATAAGCACAACTCATTTGGGAAATTCTTTTCATTTACTTGGTTGTCATTTTTCAGTTTTATTAAAAAAATCCTATGTATTTAACTTAAGTAAATAAAACCTGATAATTTATTTTTTATTTTAACAGGACTTGGCTGAGGATGCAGGCACACAGGTATCAGGTGGCCAAACAGTAGTTAACCCATGGTTGACTATTGGTGGAGTGGCTACCACTGTGTGCCAATCAAATGAGTTTATCATGTAAGAATATATTTATATAACCTCTTTACCTATCTTGCATTTTTCTTTTTGTATAAATGCAAAAGAAATGATGGTAAGTATATACACTGTAAATATTTAGGACACAATTTGCGAAATTGTGTTGAATTATTTATTTAAGTAAAATTCTCTTTTCCATTACCCCCCCCCCAACAAAAAATAAGCTATTTGGAACTTAATGGGAGATTAGCTAGTTAGATTTGAATATGGTCTTAGCATTTAAATTCTGATTGTCAAAAATTGTTCTTTAAAACAACTTTTTAAAAGTTACAATAGGTGACTAAAAATTTTCAAGTCGGCTTATATAGTAAACTAGTTAAATAGTATTTTTTTCTTTTTAGGTCTAGTTGGTTGTATAAAGATTAAATAGTTTTAGGAATTACTCTTGTTCATTTTCTCGACATTTGAAAATATAAACCATTTAACTTTTTTTTATTTCATAAAAAGCAACTTATATATATATATATATATATATATATATATATATATATATATAAATAAATAAAAACAATAAAAAACAATGAGACATGGTGTAGTATGAGTCTGTTATATTCACTTACATGCAAATACCCTTGGGAAAGGTATGAATCCATCTCTTCTAAGTTATGGGTAAATAGCAGAACAGTCTGGGTCCTATAGCCTTATGTGGCAACTGGTCTAAGAGAATGACAACTCTGAATTCAAAACTTTTAACTATGGGTTAAATAACCTCACCAACCCGCAATTGGTCAAGCATGGTGAGTATGACTACATCCCTGAAGCCATGTGTAGTCAAGGAGAGGTTCCTCCAACAGGAGTGAGAAGGCCCTGGATTTGGATGATATAACATTGAACATACATACAGAAAACAAGGTATTGTGAGTGAATACTGTAACACATAAATATTTTTTATGGAAGTAAAAAATTTGACTATGGTATTTGGTTTAATGTACTTTACAAGACTCTATTAAAATATTACACATTTTAACAGATAATGATATAGTATTATTCCTATTTATGAATATTTATTTATATAACGACAGTATTAAAATATTGCTACAGTTGAACACTGCTCATTTAATTTTATTTCTTTCTTTCTTTTTTTTTTTTTTTTTTTTTTTTTTTTTAAATAAATTCATAAAAGCCTTCAGCTGATACTTTGGCTTTAGTTTCACTTAGAATTATACCTTCCAGTCTTTTGAGATTTGTATTATTCTTACCTAATTAACTTTTTGTGTGTATATATTCACTTTACTGGAATTTAATACTTTTGTTTAACCCTTTTAGCATTCAGCCTGCCTTGTAAATATCAGTTCACAATGTTCAACTTGCCCCATGTATACTCTGCTATAATATATGACAACATCATTGCAAATAATGCAGGAAGTCATGCAAGTAAGACTGATTGCAAGCATTGAGACTTTGAGAGCGAATATTTTCAGGTTGGTTTTGAGCATGTTGAAGTGCTTAAGTAGGTTTACTATAACTTCTAAGTCTCAAACATAGTTTTATTATTATAGACTTATATTCTTGTGTAATAAAACATTTTCATGATTCAACACCCTGTAAACTTGAGAGCTGACAAAAGAAAAAAAAAAACCCTGAATACTGCTAACTTATTTCTAGCAGGACACTGAGACAAACTCCTTAAAACTGGGATATATGGTAAGCCTAAAGTTATTTTCTTTCTCCCTCTTTATCTTTTTATAATTTTATTGATTTATAAGGATAATTTAATAAATTGCAAATGAATGAAAATTCCTAGAATCAAATATTTTTTGTACTGTTTTTGTCAATACTGAAGCAATTTTGATGGTAAGTTAATACCCTCCCACTAAAAAACCATTTTAATAACCTGCAGATATAGACTATTTATGGAACAAACTAATTTTTGACACACAGTTGTATTATTTTTATTTTCTTTTTTTTTTTTTGTTTATGATAGGAAAATTCAATAAATATCTTTTTTTAATACTAACGTTTACCCAATACATAGAAGAGCCACTCAAGGTAGAGGGTTGCCGTGTGGTGTTGTATGAGCATAAGAAAAGGTAAGAAGTGAAGTTCATGGCGTTATACAGGAAGGATAACAGTTGACTTTAGACTTGAAGAGGTCAAGATTGTAGTGATTAGGAAAACAGCCTTCCAAGAATTTGTTCCACAAAATGGCAGCTCTTAGGAAGAAACTGTCCAGTTTGAAATTACTTCTTAATAATGGAATATGAAATACATTGCAATAAATGGAATTTTTGTTAAAGTTACAGATGCCCTTAACATTTTATTTTATGCTTATATGTAATTTAAATTTGATCAGCTTATTCTTGACAATTTTAATCCTAGTTACCATTATTAAGCTGAGTTTTTGCATTCATCCTTCATTTTTAAATTTCTGGAAACTTTTAGAATTGAATCCATTCACCCCCTCTTGTATTCACTATATTTACTGTTGACTATTGCCATTTCTTTTTTTTTTTTTTTTTTTTCTTCTATTAAATATGAAAAAAGAAAGGTAAATGTGGATTTCTCTCTCCTCCTCTTTATTTTGATCATTGTTTCCTCCTTTCATTATTGTGATTGGAATTGTCTGCTGCAGGACAAAATAATTGTTTTGTAATACGAATTGGAAATGAGATTAACTGTAAGTACTGGGTTTTTTTTTTTTTTTTTTCTTCTTTTCCATCATTCAATGAGTTAACTTTTTTTGCTATCTAAACTTTTTTTCCCCCCCCCAACATATTTTCTTCATATAGAAGAAATACAATTTTAACATTTTCTGCTTATTCAAGATTTAAAATTTGTTAATCATCTTATTTTATTTGAATTGCTTTTATTATGTTTTTCTTTTAAATTAGCAAAATTAGAAACTAGTGAGGGACTTATTTCTTGGATTATCAATTAACAAAATACACTGTTTTCTTCTGTGTTCTTTTTCTTCTCATTTGCCTCTGTTGTCTAATTATTTCAGGCCTGACAATGCTGTTGTTGGTGATGTACTTGTCCTTACCAAGCCTCTTGGCACTCAGGTGGCAGTGAATGCACATCAGTGGTTAGATCAACCAGAACGAATGTCCAGACTTAAAATGGTAGTAAGTGAAGATGACATAAGAAAGGCTTATCACAGAGCCATGTGCAGTATGTCACGCTTAAATAGAACTGGTTAGTAAACTCATTGTGTCTATACTAAAATATTGCAATTAGAGAATAGTTTTAGAGCTTCCTGATAAGTTAAATAAAACTACTTGGGAGGTGCTGAAAATGTTTTAACCCAATCCACTTCCCAAAATCTAACCAATTAGATTTGACTATGGAAAGGGGCCTTGGTTGAGCTGAGAGCTTTTCAGAATCACCTCATATACATTGGTTTTGAATTTAATATTTTCAAGCTGATTTTAAAAGATACTAATGATTGACTTTCTAAATTTTGATAAACAATATCACTAATTATGTAGATTTTAAAATGTTTTTAAAATGTTTGCCATTTTGATAATTCTAATCCAATAAAGGCTTTTTTTTTTTTTTTTTTTTTTTAATGAAAACTAGTTTGGTGACCGTCACTTCAAATCTAAATTGTTCATTTAAAATACATTAATTAGAATTCTGCAAGGTCTGGTCGAGTGCAGCAAAAATGTAAGTTTTGAAATAAGTTGAGCTGTATAGTTCCAAACTTCCGCTTTGATGTGCAGCCAACATTCATGGAAAAGTTGAGCTTTTAGAATTTTGCATATGATTGTTTACTAGTATTACCAATACTCCAACTTGAAGATGAAAGAAATCGGTCCAAAATGAATGATGCTTGACAATGCTTCATCTAATAAGAAATTTAAAATAAGATACCTATTCTTTTCCTTTCAATGATTATATTTGTTGCAATTTTACCAATAGATTATTCAGAGCAAATGTGTAAAAAAAAAAAACACACATCTTCTTCTTTAAGATGTTTTCTGTTTCAACTATTTAATACATGCTGTTTAAAATTGTTTGTAATGGTTGTATTTTATTTCTTTTTGTAGCTGCTCGACTGATGCACAAATATAACGCCCATGGTGCTACTGATGTCACTGGCTTTGGACTGATCGGACATGCCAAAAATTTGGCCAAAATTCAAAAGAATGAAGTCAGTTTTGTCATCCACAACTTGCCAATAATAGCCAAGATGGCTGCTGTCAGCAAAGCTTGCGGCAATATGTTTGGTTTGCTGCAGGGACAATCGGCTGAGACATCTGGTTAGTTTTACAACTATCTTTGTTCTTGGGCTTCCCCATCATGGTTGTGTGTGGGTGTGTTCTCTCTCTCTCCCCCCCACTCTTTACTATCTATTGGATGAGAAAAAGATGGACTTGCTTGCTATATACAGGGGGTGCTGCAAAGTTCTTTATTCACTCCACTTCTGATATGGCTTTCAGTGAGCGGTCATTACCCTTTATCGCTCTGTATGTAATTTTGCTGTAGAAAAAGTTTATCCTTCCACTGAAGGTAACTGATTTCTGAACAATAGTGTTTGAATTTCCTAGTTGTGTTGCTATTTCCTGCTATGGCAATGGAAAACAAGTTTGATTGAAATTAACAATAAGGATACTGCAATTGAATCCTTGAAAAAGAATGCAGTGGAAAGGGAAGTAATATTAATAATGAAGTTATTGGTTAAAATGTTGGCTTTGGAAAAGTTGGTTGGGCTTATAATTTTTCAGCTCTTTATTTTTTAAAAATTTTTATTTATTTTTATTTTTTTGAAGGGTTTTGGAAATACTAATATTTCTTAAATAGGGCCATGGCAAAAAATTCTTATATTATTTATTTTCTGTGTCCCTTAGTAATTGACAGATTTACCATAAACTACATCTGGCAGCAAGGTCTGAAGGAGGTTTTAAAGAATGTGGTATCTCTTCTTAATTACTGTTCCCAGGTCCTACCTGACCCAAACAACAAAACATTAAAGTATAAAAAATATATTTTTATATAAAAAATACCAGCAATACATTTTTATATACCAGCTATGGATGAATAGTGACCATCCAAACTAAGCTCAAAACATGAAAATATAAAAAGAAAAGCCTACCAGCAATACATTTTTTGAATAAAGAAAAAATGACCAAAGCTCACAAGAAAATAAAATTTTGGCATAAAATTGACCCATAAAACAGATTTACTAACGTGCAGATGCACTGAATTACCTCCCTTAGATTTGTAATATTTATTTTTCTTTCCTGCTGAAATGGTTGTTGTCACTGTATATATGTTAAATTCCCAAATTTTGTCATCAGTGAATCTTGATATTTTTCTTTTCTTTAGTAGACGCACCAATTTGTACATAATTTTGAAAAATTTGTTTTGGGAAGGGAATGTGAATCTTGATTCCTTGCTAACTTATCAATGTGAAAGAAAGTAATAAGATTGTGATGCATAAAATTGTTGTCTAATGTGGATGTTATGTCATTAAAAGAATCTTCCATTTTAAAAAATTTAAATGGTTTACTACTTGGAACTGGGGATTTTTTTTTTTTTTTTTTTTTTTTTTCTGTTAAATTTTAGTGTTGAAATATCTCACCCTCCCCTCAAAACTTTATTCTATGTAAAAAAAAAAAAAAAAAAAAAAAAAGTTGTCTTCAAACTTATAGAAACGAAAAACTGCTACCCATGTATATAAATCCTAATATAATTTTTTTATTTAGTTACATATTTACAGGCTTTATTAGAAGTAGATAGATTCACTTATCAAGTTTTCACTCCTTCCCTGTGTTTTTAACAGGAGTAGTGGTTTATTCTTTGTTTCATGTTTAAATTTGGGTTTCCAGCTCCTCCTAAAGTTCTCATTTTTCATCCCCAGTAACCTTTTTAGTTTCATTATTATCTTACTACTAGTTTTACACAATCTTATTATTGTTGCTTTTTATCCCAACACTCTGGGTCATTACTCTTCATTATTACCATTATTTTATTAATAGTTTTATTCCATGATTTTAAAAAAAAAAAAATTTAAAATAAGAAAATAAATGGATAACTAAATGTTTGAAAAGTATTTTAAATGGAGCATGTGTATGTGTGGAAATAATAATGCAAATTTAATTTAATTTTTTTTTTTTTTCTTTTCTTGTCCTTAGGTGGTTTGTTAATTGCCCTTCCGCGTGAGCAGGCTGCTGCCTACTGCAAGGATATTGAGAAGCAAGAAGGAAACCAGGCTTGGATTATTGGAATTGTGGAGAAAGGCAATCGATCAGCCCGAATTATTGACAAGCCTCGGACAATAGAAGTACCAGCAAAGGAAAAGGAAGGAGAGTTATGGTAAATCTATGCCACCATCCATTACCTCCTCATTTCTTAAGTTCTACCAATGGTTATGTGGACCAATAAGCAGGCAAGGAATCTGTGATCAGCTAGTTGTTGAACTGGTAAAAACACTACTCAGGTGAACAATAACAGCTACACTGATTTTTAGTTGCATTATTAACGATGGTTGAATAGGGATCTTGATATATTGGAAATAAGCAGACTTAAATGCTGTCATATAAAAATAACCAACAACCAAGATGATTTGACATGGTTGTGAAATTTCTCTCATTGTAGCTTCAGTTTACACTTGTTAGAAAATACTTATTTTCTAATATTTAACATTTAAAAAAAAAAAAAAATCTGCACATGTACATGCTTCAAGCTGTGCCAAAATTTATATTTGTCTCGCATGTGTGTTAGATAAAATGTTTCTGCTTTTTTCTATGTAGATTAATCATGCCAGTGTATATTCACATACTGTGTATACATTGCAGGGGGGGATACATTTATAACGGAAAACATGTTAATATTGTGCACATTTTCTGTTCCATTGTAAAACATGGTTTCAATATGCATTCATATAAAATACACACACACACACACACACACACATTCAAATGCTTTCACCATTATCAAACATTTTCCTCGCCTCCCCCTCTTTTCTAACCGATTGTGTTCTCTGGCTAAATTTTATAATTTGTTCTTTACTTACTTAAATATTGCTGCAATGTTTTTATTTCTTTTATTTTTTTACTCAAATTGATTGGATGCTGCTTACAATTTTTTTTCTACTCAGATATTCACATCACTGATTCAAATTTAAGTTACTTTGAATAAAAATATATATAGTAGTCTCCAATCTCTTGTAAAATTGACTATAACAGCTACATGGTAATATTGATCTGCTTACCTACAACTCCATATTAGCTTGACTATATTTTTGTTAATATTTTTGCTTATCAGTTTACCAATTAGCTTGCCGGTCGCATTCCCTGCACCTGCTTCCAAATGTTTATGCCATTCTGTTTCTTTGTTTGATTACTCGGTTCAAAGTGGTTGTCCATATAAAGATTGGTTGAACATTTTAAAAAGGAAAAAAAAAAAAAAAAAAAAAAAAAAAAACTACCCCATTCCCATGCAAAAAAAAAAAACAAAAAAAACAGCAGTTGATGAAATTTTCATGTTTTTCACTCTGCAGCCACTTAAGAAAATTAAACTAAAAAAAAAAAAAAAAAAAAATGTATTTTCACAGTACATTATTATTGTCCATTCCACAAAATTTTAAGATATACACATGAAATTTGAAACAGCCTAACCAGTTTATTTTATTTTTATTAAGAGTTTAAAAAATATTAAAAAAAAAAAAAAAAATAATACCCTCCATTTCTACTATGGTATTGAAACAACATTCCAGTTTCCTTAGATTTTCATTTATTTTTTTTTTTTTCTGACAGGAAAATATTTTTTGCTTTGGGATTTAGGTGAATGTTTAAAAAAAATTTTTTAATTTTTCAAGTTTTAAAATTTTCTTTCATGATTTTAAAATTCTTTGATGTAATAAAGTGCCAATGATATTTCAATTGCTAGCTATATATATATATATATATATATATATATATATATATATATATATATATATTTTTTTTTTTTTTTTTTTTCTATAGACATTTTCAACTTAGGAAGAAAATTATTTTTTAACTGATTTCATTTATAGAAAATAAATGTCACATTTTCACTTTTTTTTTTTTTTTTTTTTTTGTTTAAAGATGCAACGAAAAATTCCTTCTTACAAAATCTTATATATATATATATATATATAACTTTCTAAGAAAAATCACTACTTAAAAATCCTGTAGAACTAATATAACTGGAATGTTTGTTTTTATTTTTTTTTTTTTTTTTTTTTTGTGCCATTAGTTTTTTTTTTTTTTTTTTTTCTCTCAGTATTTTTTAACTTGGGCTGTATACTAACAGGCCACTGCTGTTCATTGGTGGCTTGTATATTAGATAAGTAATATTGCTGAGGAGTTTGGTCTGGTTTGCCCAGGACCTTGAGCAAGTCCTTAATGGTAGATCTACGATTATTCTCTCTCAGGGAAGACTGGTTGGCAAAAGTCTGGTTGTCATCTCTATGAAACAATACTGGGAATTCCTCCAAGAACCAGTAGTGTAGAAGTCCGATGACTACTTCACAGCTAACCTTGCTTCCGGGTTTTATGATTTGGAATCATTGATAAATAAATTGGCCTGTTTCTACCATCCAAAAAATGTTTTTGTTTTTATTCCTGTTCATAATTTGTCAATTTGCCTCTTATTTATTTAGATTTTTGTCATCACCAAGCTTGACTCTTTTTAACAAACAACAACGGTTGAAATACTGGACTTCATTTTGCAAAGCTTGGAATGAGAAAGGTTAAATTTCTTTTGTATGTTTACAAGGTGGAGTGATGGAAAGTTCTTCATCTGATCAAATGAACAGACATCAGGTTTTCTCTTTGATTTTATTCATTGGGTTGAGAACATTTCAGCACCCCCCCTTTGTTGTATAGCTTTCAGAAATTATTTATCATGATTTACTTTTCCTCCTTTTCATCAATACATTGTAAAGACTTTATTTTAAATTCATTCTTTTAAATATTGGCATAAAAATCAGTTTGGTATCAAAAACAAAACGATTGTTGAGTTTAAAGCAAACCCAGGATTTTCTTTTTAATTGGTGTTCCATGAAATCGATGCTCTCTGCTTGCTATCATCTGAAAATCATCATGGAACTGAATATTTCACTTTCAGTTCTCTCATGATTAAAAGAGGTGTAAAAAAATTTACAAGCCACTTCTTGCCTCACTTAATAACAGATTGTAGCTAATTTTTTTTAGATTAGCTGCCAATTTGACATCAAACTGATCAGATTTACTATTAAGACAAGAGTAAATTGTTGTGCAATCAGCATAGATACAGAGTTGATGACTGCTGCCATTAGGAAGGTCATTGATGAAAATTAAAAATGACATAGGTCCAAGAATAGTCCTGGGAAACACTTGCATTTATGCAAAAAGATCAAGAAGAGTGGCCATTCAAGATAACTTTCATTTTGTGATTTGATAAGAAAGACTGAATCAGTTCAAAAATTCATCCAGAAATCTCGTATCCTTTCAAGTTATGAAAAAGACCATTATGCCAAATCCTGTCAAATGTCTTTGTGATGCCCAAAGCAACAGCCTGAGCTTCACCATTCTTATCTAACACCTGATAGACTCTTTCAGCAATAATTGTTAACACATCAGCAGTTGACCTAGATCAGCAAAAACTATATTGCTTATCTAAAAAGAAGACACTGTGTTGTGAGATGCTTAACAAATTCAGTTGATTAGAGCATCTAGTACATTGTTAAAGAGGTAGAAGTCTAATGGGCTGATAGAAGGATCAGATGGTTCACCTGTGTTCTTAAAGACTGGAACTACAGAAGAGGATTTTTCAACATGCAGAGAAGCAAGAAGCACTAAGGTATTTATTGTAGAACTGTAGAGAGAACCGGATACAGTTCAGGAACACATTTCTTAAGGACAATTGCAGGGATACTGTCAAGTCCACATTCTTTTGTGAGGACCCAGTTTAGAACTGATAGCAGAACCATGGATAGTTTTATACATATCACTCAATACTCGGTTCTATGTGGAAAGTCAGTCAAGAGTAGAATTTAAAGAATTTATGAGCAAATCCTTCTGCTTCATCAGCAGATGTTAACATTTCAAATTGACTGAAGAGAGGATGGATAGAAGACTTACTCTTATTTAACACACTTACAGTGGTGCCAGTCTCATGAAAATTAATTTTTATTCTTTGATATTAACTTGTGGATGGTACTACATATGGTGGGGAAAGAGGTCTCCATTTAGTATTGGTCACTTTAGAATAGGTACCTCCAAAGATTTGCTAAAAAAAAAAAAATGAGCATACATGATGAAAAAATATTCCAAGCTTAATAAAAACAGTTTTATTGTCAAAATCTTTAATTATTAAGATCAAAGGATTCTTTATTAGATTATATTTTTTTGATCCTTAGAAATTTTGGTTAAAAATTTTGTTTTTCTTGTGTCAGTGGGGAACCCAAGATTAATATAGTAAATTAGTATAGTACATTAGTATAATAAATTTTAGCATCATTTTTTGTTGTCAAAAATGCATTGGAAATTCTTGCAAAAATCAAATTTTGAGATTTTATTTTTGTACTGCTTAATGTTTACATTAGTTATATATGGAACTCCTTGAAGAATTAATTATTTCTTTTTTTTTTTTCTTTAAAGCAGTACTTACAGTTACTGAAAATCTAGTAAAATAAAAAATACGCTAAAACTAAGACATTATTTAATTAGAAAAGCTTTTAATTGCTTTTATGAATAATATGTATTATGGACACTTGTTTTAAGAAAATGTTTTTGATGAAAATTACATTTTTACAAGAATTGTTTATTTTTTTTTTAAAGTTTTAATTCTGTATTTGTATGGGTTAGGTGATAGTGTTATTAAGTTAAAACTATTTTTGCTAATCATAAATGGAAAAGCTTGCTACAATTTAGCAACCACCAGTATTTTAAAAAGAAATTTTAATTTGTGTGTGTAAATATGCTGAATTTTGTATATGCAGGCATCCATACATGATATTATCAGAAAATATGAGTGGTAACTATAGTAAATCTAAAGCCAAAGTGCCTAAAATTCAACCAAACATTACATTATGGAAAATAATTTTTTAAATTTTTAATATTACCGGGTAGTCAAAAAGTTAGATATAAGAAAGGTGCTAAAGTTATATTTGTCAATTTTTACAGATATGTCGTCCACATAGAAAAAAAAAAATTAGATAAGTTTCCGGCACTCAAGCTGTCAACACTTAATCAAAACACGTACCTCTTTTAAAGTAAAAGTAATTTGTTTCAAATCAGATTAATTAAAATTTAAATCAGCTAATATTCCTCAAATAAAGTTTCAGTAAAGTATACTTTAATTTTGAAATAT